GTTGCATTACATTTGCTCCTCTGGTCTGAAACACATTCACTTAGACACATCCAACAAATTCCACAGGCCTCTGTGGAAGCTGATATTCTTTACCCTCACTATTTCTGCCCTCATACCCAGTCCTAAGGAGCCAGAGATTTCCTCACCTGGGTTCAGACTGATTTTTTTTTTTTTAAATCTGGATTCCAAGAAGAGTTATAATACTCTAGTTCCCAACAACCTGCCACTGGGGTCTCCTATTGGTCCCTATGAATGGCCTGGCTATTTCTACATTCACTTGCTGATCTCTCTGTCTGAAATGATTTTCCCCCTAGCTGTCTACATGACTGGCTCCTAATTCTTCACATCTCAGCAGAACTTTAACCAGCCATGCTGTCAAAAGAAGATTCCCTATCACTTCTTCGTTGTAAATTATATTTGATCTTTTTTTCTTACTTAACAACAACAACAAAATTAGGGGCTAACACACCAAGACTTTACCATGACCCAAGTTCATGTTAAGCATTTGCTATGGTTTGGATATAGTTTGAATGTCCCTCAAGGCTTCATGTGTTATTTAATCCCCATTGTAAGATATTAAGAGCATGGAAACTTAATCTGACAACAGTGCTTAGAGGGTGGAACCTCAGGAAAGTGATTAGGATTAAAGTCATCAGGGTGGAGCACCCAAGATTGAATCCTGGTGGTTTTACAAGAAAAGGGAGAGGTGTGATGTTGCACACCTGTAATCTCAGTGACTTGGGAGGCTGAAGAAAGAGGACTGCAAATTCAAGGCTCACCTTAGCAATTTAGAGAGGCCCTGTCTCAAAATAAAAAATGAAAAAGAGCTGGGGATGTTGCTCAGTGGTAAAGCACCCTGGAATCAATCCCTAGTTCCAACAAAGAAAGAAAACAGAAGTCATACATACACACATGTGCTCCTATCTCTTGCCATGTAATGCCCAGCACCACCTCAGACTCTGATGGGGTGGTCCTCAAACTTGTACCTCCAGGAACTATAAGCCCAAATAAAGTTCCTTTCTATATAACTCACCCAGCATGTGGTATTGTATTATTAGCTACAACAAAAATGGACTAATCAGCAATTTAATGGAGATTATCTTGCTTAAGTGGTAACCACCCCATGAGGTAGGTGCTATTATTACTATAAATTTAGAGATGATGAAAATCAAGACAAAAAGGTTACATACCTTACTTATGGCCATGGGGGCAATGAGGTAACTAGCAATCCCGCCTCTGTAACCACTACACTACACTGATTTCTTAAGGTCTTCCCCTGCCCTGCAGATGTCTACTTCCAGACTATGAAGCTCAAGAGAAAATCATTCAGCAAAGGATCTCAACCCCTATTGGAATGCCTGGCATAAAACAGGTGCTCAGTACCTGAATGAATGAAAACAAAGTAATACTGTATAATTTTTCCTCATAATCTTTGATCTGCCTCTGCTTCCTCCTGTTCCTAGGACAGGATCCAGACTCTAGGAGATATCTAACACATTCAGAAAATCTAAGAGCCATAAAGAGCTTTTCTAACCACCCGTCTCTGTCCCCTCAGTTTATCCAAGGAAAATGACCTCTCTTGGGTCTTTGTCCTATTTCTGAGAATAGACAATCAGGCAACATGCATAATGGAGGATGCATAGGTTTCTGGGGTCCTAAGAGAGAAGGAGGCAGCTGTCAGCCAGAAGATGCCCTGCTAGAATGGAACCCAGAGAAGGCCAGGATACTATATTTGCCCTGCCTTACAAAACAAATAAACACCCCTTGCCAAATGCCCTACACCTTCTGAGAACTGTCCAACACCTGAAACATGTTCCTTGGAAACTTCATCCCCTGGCGCACACCTAAATTCTCATTAGAGACTACAGCCTTCCTTTCCAGCTTCTCTCCCTCTTCTCACAGGGATGGGGAAGCAAAAATATCCAGCAACAGAGCCTAGAGGCCAGGCCTTTGGTATCATCTTCTGAAGCAGAAAAGGCCTTTCTGTTGGAGACAAATAAAATTTATGGTCACTCCTTGCTTCTAGTTAACCTCAGCCTTGAAAAGTCCTGAGCATCCCCAATATACAAAATCCCAAGAACCCCAAACTCTATGTCAAGAACTTCTAGAAAAGTAGCACTGCCAAATGCCATAGGACTTGTGAATGAGTGGAGGGAACAACATTCTAGCCTAGCCTGGCCAATGAGAGTTTCTAAGATGAGGTGATATTGGGGCTGTCCTTCATGGAAACAAGAAGGAAGCAAAGGGAGCAAAAGGCAAAATAATATGGAAAACACAAGCAAACATTTACTGAGTGCTCACTTTGTCCTTGGAGCTTTCTGTGTTTTTGGTGCTGGGTTACATGTTTTACACACAGTAGCTTGTTGACATCTCCCACTCTTTATGAGATAGATGCTGCTAATATACACTTGAAGAAACCAAGGCCCAGAGATGTTAAATAATCCAGTAACTGGTAGGGTTGGAATTCAAACCCAAGTTTGCCTGACTCCGGAATCCCACCACACCAAGTCCTGGGGGAGATGGCTTGTGTGACAAAACAAGGGATCCCTAAATGCCATATTAAATGTTCAAATGGGCCACGTGCTGAGAGTGTTGCAGGAAGAATGGCTTAGTATATTTATGGAGGATTATGGAGGATGGTGGGAAGATGGGAATCCTATGGTCCTAGAAGATGTGCAGGGGAGGGGGAGGCAGCAGCAGGAGTAAGAAAAGATGAAAGAGAAACAAAGCAATTGAATGCTAGGTGATGATCAATGCTATTAACCTTTAGATTTAAGCAAATATCTTCCTCCAGTCCCAGTCCACAAAACTCATATTAATTGCCAACTAGGTGTTATGCCCTGTCCCAGGCAGACTCGCTCTGTTTCTCCTCTTCCCACAATGAATTCAGGTTGCTGGCGGGGCTCCTTGAGCCCAGCATCCTGAAGTGTTCTCCCCTCATTCCCTAGGAACTTTTTCTCCCCAGGGCTGGGGGCTGAACCCAGGGCTTCAGGCACAGCAGGCAAACACTCTACCACTGAGCCATGTCCCCACCCCTCCCCTCATTACCAATTCCACTCACATAAGTAAACTTTTATTGAGGTTTTATGTTAAAATATTAAAAACTACAATTATTATACTTTAACTTCAGTCGGTTTTATATCTTAATAGTACTTATTTTCACTTGACTCGTCTAGTTTGTAAGTTAAATAATAACTGAGCTCACTTTTAACCTCAAAAATTTTTGATGAGATCATTTTCTACAGTGGGTGAGTCATCTGGCCATCTTCCTCCTTCAGCTATAAGCACCTCTGCTTAAAGGTATCACTAGGGGGACAGGGGTGGGAACACACATTCCTGCCCTTTACTACCATCTGGGGGAGGTGAGGGACCTGGAATTAGGACATCTGTGGCAGCTGCACACGAGGAAACCATTCTCACTTTGGAGCAGTGAGATGAAAGAAAGGGGAACCCAGCTTCTGACTACTCTTGTGTAAGAAACCCTGTCCCGACACCCGTCCCCCACCCTTGCTGAGGGGGATTTTTAGACGAATACTTGTGTATGAACTTCCAGATTTGCAGGGCCACCCCTTGTTTTCCCAAACACTTTCTTTAGGAGATACTGCGCAGCCGGCGGTTCAGAGTTCAAAAGAACTTCTCGCTAAACTGGCTCAGCAATCCCCAGGCAGGCGAATGCCAACACACGATGATTTCAAAAGCCTTGGGAGTGGGGAGGATTTTCCGCTTAGCTTCCCTAAACGTTGCCACAGGACAGCTCTCTGGCTACGTCACCATGAAGATGCTTATACCTTGCAAGACCCAACCACTCCTGAGACCCCCAGTTACTAAATGACCAGCACAATCCGGGAAGAGCCAGTCCAAGCAGATGCGAACCATTGCAGTCCTCAAAGCCTTGTTTATGTCCAGGCCCACGCCAAGCCGCAGCTATAGGCAGATCCCCTTCTCTCCCGCCCGCCATCGACTCCCGGATTCCCAGAAAGACCCCTCCCCCTGCTTCCGGTTTCCCGGCCCAGGGCGGCCTCCAGCCTGGCCTTTCAAGGCCTCACGGCTTGGGCCCGCGGCTCACCCTCGAGCGTCTCGCACTGCACCAGGTTGAGGTAGTCCGCCTGGCTGAGCACCCCGGCCTTCAGGCCGCGCACCAGTCCTTCCAAGTAGCCATTATCCACGTTGAAGTAAAGCTCCGGGAAGAACGACATGGCTGCAGCGGGGTCTGCGGGACCAGAGAGCCCCGACCGGCCGGCACACAACGCAACTACAAGATCAGCTGACGCGGCGCCCGCAAAGGGCTGTCAAGAGCGTCAGGTGACGTGCAAGGACCTCACGTGACCACAATAGGGCAGGACTCTGAGCGGCGCACGGCTTCCGGGTGGTTTCCTGAGCAAGCGCAGCGCAAGTGTGAACTGCAGGCGGCCTTCTGGGCGCTTGCGCACTGAAGGGAGATGGGCTTCCCCCCCACCACCAATGGCCTGAGAGCTACTTGAATGTCCGAGAACCACCGCATGGTGGCGCCCGTGGCCGCAGGATTCGGTGGGGGCTCTCTTCCCGCGGTTAGGTGCACCAGGTACTGCAGAAGCCGGCTGGGTAAAAGTGAGAGCGGGAGATGATTCTTATTGTAAAGGTTCCACACTGTTGAATCTAAACCAGGGGAAAAGAGGTCCGGTGGGGGCTGGCTTTGCAGAAGGTCACACTTAGCCGCAAGTGGGTCCTGGACTCAGGCTTATTCTCTACCTGGGAGTTACAGCCCCCGTGCTGGGCTGGGCTGCGCCCAGCTTTTTCCCGCATTTGATGTAGAAGATTTTCCAAGGCTGTATTGAGGCCCCCTTTACTTCCCGCAAAGGTGCCTGGTGCTCTAAAAGCACGCGTATATGTGGCTCAGATGATGGGATAGCCGAGGCCCTGGGGTAAGCATGTATGTGGTTTCTTGACTTGGCGACACTCCCATCCCTTCAAGAACCCAACCCCGCCTCGACGACCACGTTCGAAATAACCACAGCTTTGGGATTGATCCCATCCTTTATTCGTATGCCCGTTTGCTGAAACGTTAGCCTGTTAGGTGCGGCTGCAGGGGTTGGTGGCCGTACCCAGCTTGCGGCAGTAGCAGAAGGCATTGAAGAAGCGGCAGTAGCAAGTGGCGCACGGGTCACAGCATGGTACCTGCTGTCCCAGGCAGGACTCGTGCAGCCTTACACAGCGGCGCGGGGAACGGAGCTCACGGTTCTGCGGGTCTAGCATCTGCATTGGTAAGGGAACAGGAGAGTGAGCGCAAACTTCTGAAGGCAGGTTCAGGCACCTCACTTGCTCTAAGCTGTGCAAGATGGCAATGGAGTGTAGGGAGGGGTGCCCTGCTGTGTCGCCCCTTGTTGAAGGGGTCCAGAGGTGGGGAGAAGGGGTGGTACCTGATGCCCCCTCTGCAGCCTGACCCTTTCCCTGAGTGCTTACCTCCGCCAAAGCTTCTGCCTTCTGTAGCAGAGCCTCTTCTGATTGTTCTGCAGTCGTCTTCTTCAGCAGAGCTTGCAGGCCTAAGCCTGGGGCAGAAAATGTGAGGACAGGACCCCCATGCACAAAGTACCCACCTCCCGGGGCTGGGATTGGGAAGGGAGAAAGGAGGGATTATGCCAGGCAGGCAAGTTTGTGGCCAGAGAGAGTTCAGGATCCCCCAGCCCACCCCTGCCCTACTCACCTGGGAACTCTGGTAACAGGGCCTGGTCAGGCCTTCTGATGCCCTCCAGGGGTGCCAATCCCATTTGGGCCCCAAGCGTGGTTGGCAATGCCAGCAGCAGGGCACAGCTTAGCAGCACTGCAGTCAGCATAGCCTGGCTCATAGGAAAACCCACCACTTAGTCCTTCCTCATCCTTGGAGTACCTTGTAGATGTCTGGAAAGTAGGATTCTCCACCCAACCTGAGGACTTACCTCTGCTTGCTGGTCCTTGCCTAGAGAGTCCCTGGCCAACTGTTCCCTCAGCTTTTATGTCAGGGTCTAATGAAGGACCCACACGTGACTCTACCCTACAGCTAAGGCATGAGGGGCCCTCTTTAGAGGGTGGGGGCACAGTTCAGGCTCACTCACTGGAACTCAAGACTTTGGTACTCTACTAGAGGAGTGGCCATCTCCAATTTTGGGTGAGGCCTCCAGGAACCAATTAATATTTAGAAACAAGATAGGGTATCCAGGCTCCCAAAATTTCCATAGGACCAGGACCTAGGGGATGCGCTGGGCTGGAGCCATTAGCAATAACAAGGCAGGCGGCCAGGAGAGTTTAATTTAATTTGTGGCCCCGGAAATGCTCACTCAGCCCCTATAAAGCATGTTGTTTCCTTTGTTTCCAGGAACTTGGGTCAAGGGCATTGAAGGGAGTGATGGGCTAGTGGCTATTGTGGTACAAGGATGGGGTACAGAACTAGACCTTGGGTTTCTTTGAGGAGAGAAGAGTGGAAGAAGCTCACCTAGCCAAAAACAGGCCCTCTGCCTACATCTCTGGACTGCCATCCCTCCCTCTTCTCTCTCCAGGCTTCTCCAAGATCCCCACCCCCTTCTCCTGTTCCCAAATCCCTTTCTGCGCAGGGTTCCTGGAAACTAAGGGAGCTGAACGGACGGACTGTTCCCTGGGTGGGCAAGCAGCTTCCGAGTAAAAAGCTTTCAGGCCGCCTGCCTCATTAGTGCTAATGGCTGCTCCCTTATACTTGTGTTGTTAGGCTTCTGCCCACGCCTGGTCTCATGAGCATGAGGCTGTGGTGAGGACTGCCCATTTGTGGACATGGTAGGACATAGGACCCCACCTGCCCCTGCCTTCTCTCATCCCTCTGGAGGGCTTTTTAATCTCGCATGTGTCCATTTGGTAAAAGGATGCAGACTGAATCAGCTTGGAGGACCCAGTGCACAAACAAGGCTGTCCCAAGGCAGCAGGAAAGGATGAAAGGGCTGTCAGGGTCTGCAGACCAAGTCCACACAGGCTGTTCTGAGCAGGATGCCTGAAGAAATGCTCCTAGAAGCAAGTGGAAATCATAGATTCCCATATGGCAGCCTTTGCCTGGAGTCAACACCAATAATTGGCATTTGTATGCCATCTTCATGGGAGGAGGCTCTGCAGAAGTGGGCCTATGGCAATATCCTTCCACAGATGAATACTGTGTCTATGCTGGTATCACCTGCAGTCGTTTTCAGGATAACAGTCCTTGGAGCTCAGAAAGCCACTTACTGTTGCCTGGAGGTGGGAGGAAACACTGAGGAATCAGGGGAAGCCCCTCTAAGGAGACAGTTCCTGAACTGAGCCCTTAGGATGATCCAGTTAAGGGCCAGTCCCCTATTCTCCCCTATGAATAGGGTTGGTGATTTGGAAAACAGACCTGGTGTTGAGATCTCTCTGGCAATTCAACTGACCTTTCTATCCCAGAGGCTGTAAAAGGCCTGATGGCTCACTTCAGTGCTTTCTCTTTTCTAGAAAGATGCAAAGTAAAAATATCAGACACCCAGGTGTGCTTCCATCCTGATTGGGTCACTTGGGGCTCAGGAAGGGCAATGTATCAAATGTACATGAGATACTTTGCTCAAATTCTTGTGCCTGGCACATCCCTGAAGATACTGGCTAAAGAGGTGTGGAGCAGGGAGGGACTATGTGTTGGTTGGAAAGGTGCCCTACTGATTCTGAGCACCTGGATGGGCCTGTTCAGTAACCATCCTAAGGAAAGAATTTCACGTCTGGGACAGTGTGTCTTCCCACTCCAGCACTCAGCTGTCTTCACCTGCATGTGTGCACACAGATGTATCAGCCCTGTGGGAAGCAACAGACAGGGGCCAAACCATGATCCTGGTCAGGTTCAGTGGAGGAGACAGTCAAGCAAACCAACCATCAAAACAGGGTGGCAGTCAAGTGCAGTGGTTGAAACCTGTAATCTCAGCTACTCAGGGGAGAGAAGCAGGAAGATGGCAAGTTTGAAGCCAGCCTTGACAACTTAGTGAGACCCTGTCTCAAAATAATAAAAAATAAAAAGGACTAGGGTGTAGCTCAATGGTAGAGCACCCCTGGGTTCAATCCCCAGTACTGGGATGGGGGACATTTTTGTAGCTCACAGTTTGAGAGGGTGAAAGCCTAAATGGCATAGAGTAGCAGGCTTGGCAAAGGTCCCATGGCAGATGGCAGGAGTGAGTCACATTAAGTGGTCACGTCTCCACTGGGAAGCAGAGAGAGCTGCTGAGGCCAGACTTGCTCTTTTTACAAGAATCCTCTAACAAGAGCTCAAGGGGTCTCCAGAGAAAGTAGTTTCCTAATGACCTTAGGACCTCCCATTAGGAGTCTCTACCACCTCTCCATACTGCCACCCCACATGAACCTTTGAGGGGACACAATTAAACCATATTCAAACCAGAGCACCAAAGAAAACAGAAAATGATAATAGGAAATTTTTTTAAATGTTTTTTATTGTAGATGGACCCAATATCTATTTTTATTTATTTACTTTTATGTGGTGCTGAGGATCAAACCTAGGGCCTCATGCGTGTGAGGAAAGTACTCTACCACTGAGCTACAACCCCAACCCACAGAAGGAAACTTTTAATGTAACAAACTTTGACAAATCAAACCAAATATCAGTTATTTGGAAAGGTGAACATAGAAGTAATTATAGATATATGTATACATACTGAGCTAAGACAAGAAACCAACCCATAGGCCATATTTTGGGCTAATTCAGTGGTAGGGATGGGGATGGGTGATACAGTTCATGTGGGGAGCAAAAGGAGCTTGGAGTGGGAAAGGGAATAAACAAATGTTTATTTCTTCCTCTGGACTCCAGTTAGGTTCATGGGCAGTATGAGTGCTGCTGGGCGCCTGTTGCTATGATCTGAGCCCAATACTGTCACAGAGGTTGTACAACATGATTATGGTTATAGGTGTTTGATGACTGACTCACTGACTGATCCAATTCTAGGGAACTTCATGATGGAGTAACTGTCTCCCCAGCTCCAGCTGAGTGAGAAGAGTATACTGATTGTTTACCAGGCTGGGGCCTTTGGGCAAGTTTGGGGCAGAACATGTGTTAGGCAGTGAAACAAGACAGCATAGGAAAGAATATGCCAATTGTGAGTCCCAGGGACAGGTAGTGTCCCTTGCCTGGCACTCCCCAACTTCACTTAAGTTTCAAGAGAGTAAAAGTCTTCTCCCCCAGGAAGCCTTCCCTGGCCAACTCCCACCTGCCTTTTGCTGAGGTAGGTGACTATCCATGTCCCACAGACCCTTCAGCATTCTTGGGCCTTCTTCTCTCAAAGCACTTGATTGCATTTTTTTTTTTTTTTTTGTAGGGGGAGGTTTTGGTTCTGGGATTGAACCCAGGACCTCACGCATGCTAGACAAGCCTTCTGCCCCTGAGCACCATCCCTAGTTCTACCCTGCTCTTTTTAAGATTCCTTTTGTTTTTCATTTTTGATATGGAAAATTTTGAATCTACATAAAAGTAACGTGAATAGGATAATGAAACCCAGGTACTGTAATCCTATTTTGATAATCACCAATTTACAAACAATTTTGTTTCATTTACATCATCTCCCAACTCAGATTATCTTGAGATAAATCCCCAACTTCATATCATTTTATCAGCAAATGCTTTGTTATGGTTCCCAAAAATGGTGCTTTAAAAAAGGGCAGAAGCACAATACCATATTGCAAAAAAAAAAATTCAAGTTATTTTTTAATGTCATCAAAATCCAGTATTCATATTCTGTTAATGCCAACATAAACATGTCTTTTCTATTCCACTTGGGTTTTGCTTTTACCTTTTCTAGCAACATAAGGTGCAATGGCTGGTCCTCACATTTGTCTTTCCTTCTTGCCTATAGTAGTCTATAGAAGAACCCTCTGTGAATGAGCATTAACACTGTATGGATAATTTTACTGTCAGGAACCACCAGCCTGATGTTTTCAGGAAAACATTTGTTTAAAGGACTTTTCAGAAATATGTTCAAGTGGGGAATTTGGGAGACCTGGGGGTTACTGAGCTTACCTGCTGAGGCTGGGGCCTTGACTCCAGGGAGGAGAAACCAGAGGGTATGGATGTTCTGTAAAAACAAAGGGGTCTTTTCCCTCCTGCAGTATACTTCTCACTCCAAAGGGCGTTTTCTCACTTTGTCGTGTGTGTGTGTATGTGTGTGTGTGTGTGAGAGACAGAGAGAGAGAGAGAGAGATGGTGGTTACACAGGTATATACATTTCATTAAACTGCAAAATGCACATTTAAGGCTTGTGCATTTGGGGGCAGGGTGTATTGCTTAGTGGTAGAGTGCTTGTCTAGCACACATGAGATCCTAGGTTGGATCCCCAGCACCTCAAAAAAAGAAAAAGAAAAGATTTGTACATTTATTATATGTTATAACTCAATGAAGAGCACTTTTTTTCATTTTGTTTATTAAAAGTTCACAAAATAATGGACTGTCTAATAATAAATGGCCTCTTAGAGGTTATGATATCAGATACATTAAAGCATCTCCATAAGACAGGTGCCCCTTACCTGGTCCTTTAGGGACATTCTGAGTCTTTTCTATTTCCCACCAATGGATTTAAAGATAAGACCTTCTAGAATGCTCAAAGACTATTGGTAACCCTCCATTCAAGGCAGATACCTATTAGGGAAATAGAATCAATGAGAAGACATCAGTTGCATTGAACCCAAAACTTGATTTGGACTGTCTTAAACTATAAAAATAATTTATTGGCTTAAATAACTGAAGAAGCCCAAATATAGGGCTGGTTTCAGATGAGGTTTTATTTAATACCTCTTGGTTTTATAAGCACTCAGTGGGGCAGCTATAGTTGATTGCCTTCCCAATGCCCATTCCCAGTTTTGTTTGGAGCAGTGCCCAAACATAATAACTTCCTCCAATTCCCTGAGAGTTCCCGGTGTCCCTGGGATATATTTATGATTCAGGAGACTCATGGTGAGGTCTTCTGGGAAAGTTTGGGTATCCTGGCAAGACACTTAGGGGGTTCGTAAAGATGGAGGGAGCTTCTCAAAAGGATTCCCCCCTAACTTCTAGGTCAGATTTTGTATAGCTGTTCAAAACAGGCATACTAATAGTCCCTGTGGTTTCCCATAGCACAACCTCCAACCTCCCACACCCTCAGTTTCCTGGTTCCAAGCTTAAGGGATTCAGTCTACTTCTTCCCTCCCTGAAACCAAGTAACAGCTGAAGAAATTCCAGGAGTCCTTCTGGACTGGATTTACTTCCTAGAGTTGACAAAGGGAACTCACAACCCTTAACCCTTGAAGGTAGGTCATTTTATTGCTGCAGTAAAGAGAAGGGAGGAGGGCCTGAGGATTCCCAACTGGGTGAGAGTCATCCTCCTCAGGCCATCCCTACATGGGGTGGGGTGGGGGAGCCCTGAGGTAAGTTCAGAATACAGACCTCAGAGGGTCTCCACCTAAAGCAAGAGGAAGCTGGAGTCAATCTACAGCAACTCCCTCCCATGCTTCCTGGAGGCTTGTATGGGGAGTGTAAACTCCTAGTATTTCTGATCAGCCTCTACAGTGAACTCAGAAAGGCCTGGCATCTCAAAGGCAGATACTAGCAGTGGACACTTATCAGAGAGCTCTGAAAAGGTAGGGCCAAAGACAGGGGAAGGGCTCTGAGAGCCTCTGTTTCAGGTGTGTCTAAACATGTGGGTCCCCAGAATGTGGGGCTCATACCACCACCACCAGCAGCAGCAGCAGCAGCCTAACCTAGGAACTGGTAAGAATGTCAATTTGGTCCTGCCAAGATTTAAGGAGTGGCAAATTCTCAGGACCCAGCTACCAGAGTTTGTAACAGATGTTGCAGGTGATTCTTTTTTTTTTTTAAATATTTATTTATTTTTTAGTTTTCGGTGGACACGACATCTTTGTTTGTATGTGGTGCTGAGGATCGAACCCGGGGCTGCACGCATGCCAGGCAAGCGCGCTACCGCTTGAGCCACATCCCCAGCCCCTTGCAGGTGATTCTGATGTGACTGATCTTAAAGAATCCTTGTCACTGTTTCTAACTCCAAAGCTCAATGCCATCTTCCTCATATGATATTGTGGTTGAAACCTGAGGCCAAGGAGTGCTGGGGTGTCAGAGAGAGAGGAACATCTCAGCCTCAGGGAATACCCAATGGGTACTGACCCTTGGAATCCAGTGTGGAGACAGGCTCATTCCTTCATCCATGAAATATTTATTGAATGTCTACTGTGTGCCAGAGCCTGGTACAAATACTAAGGGCTTACTGAGAGTCTGGGAGCAAAGGGAGAAGGGCTGGGAATGGAACACTAAGAATATGGCTCTCTTGGAGTTCTTGTGGTCTGACTGACTTCTTGAAGATGCTCCATAGGGAATGACTTGACCTTGCCAGTCCAGGAAGACTCCTGCTTCTTTCTCAGTGAGCTAAACCATCAGCATGTGCTGGATGGATTTTGCTCATCTTCAGTGGGGTTTGCAGAGCACACAGCTGAGCACACGTGGAGCTGAAGCCACCGGGCCATATTCTGGCCCATAGACAAACTGAGCTCAAATGGGTGGGGGGGCAGAGAAGCTGTACCCCATACCTTCAAGGATCTAAATGGCACCCATCAGTTGCCCATGCTTAGGAGATGACACTTATGTATGTGCCCCAGGATTCCACAAAGAATCTGCTCCTCCTCCAACCCACAACCTCTTTTGTAGTATGCCTCTCCCCATTCCATAACCTCTCACACTTCATGGCACTGTGGGTTCTATTATCTGTAGCCTCCATGTGCATCCTATACCCCAGAATTCAACACTCCATACTCCCTTAGTCAACCATCCTGGGAAACTTGACCCAACGACAATGTATACCCCTCATGCCATTGATAGCCCTTACAAAATGGAATTCAAAGCCATAGACATCACTTGACCTGACATCTTTTTTTCCTCCCTTTTTATTTTTTGAGATAG